AAAAGTATAAAATTTTGATTAATTTATTGATTTTTTTATAAACTGAAAAGTTTAATGAAGAAATAACTAGATTTTGAGGGGTGGGGCTACCAGGGCTTGAACTTGGGATCTTGCACTTATGAGGCAAGTGGCAGAACCACTGAGCTAAATTCCCAGCCCAAGATCTATTTTCTTTATAATTCGACATTTTCAGTGTGCAGCAAACCTAATTAAAATCCTGGGCATTGAACCCAAGGCCTCGTACATGTTAGTTTACATTGTAACCTGTTTTTTTTTTTTTAACAAGTTAAACTTGCAAGGATTTTACTAGGGGAAGTGAGTATGAGAAAGAAAATAAGAGAGCTGGAAAGGCTAAGCAAGCCATAGATTCTGATGTGAAACTGACCTTGAGTGAAGGAGAGATGGATAGGAGTTTGTTGACTGCAAAGATCCCAGCTTGCCATATAGTTCCAGAAAGGAAGATATTGGAAGGCCATTAGAAAGTGTTTCTTTTTTGGGGGGCCCTGGGTTGAGGCAGGGTCTCCCTTTGTGGTTCAGGCCCAGCCTGAACTATGTAGCCCAGGCTGGCCTCAAACTTGCAGTGATCCTCCTGCCTCAGCCTCCAGAATACTAGGATTACTGGCATGCGCCACCACGCCCAGCTTTTTTGTTGTTGTTGTTGTTGTTGTTTGGACAAAGTCTTTGAGTTAGATTTAGTTGTCACATATGTTCAGTCTCCTGAAAATGGGCCTAGTATATGCCTGCTGAGTTTAGTCATTAGCTTAGGCCAGTGGCGATGAACCTATGGCACGCATGTTGTTTTTCTTTTAAGACAAAAGATGTTAATATATGAGTTGTTTTTTCTAAACTAAAACCTCAGTCAGTATTCAGGTTTAATTGCAGTTTGTGATAAATAAGTGTTGGCAGTTTATGATAAATAAGTGAGTTTTGGTTTGCAGTTTGGACACTTGTCTCTAAAAGGTTTGCCATCACTGGTTTAGAGCACCCTTGCTGGCTATGTATCCTTGCAAATGTGGTGATGGATTTCAGAACACAACCTCTTGGGTTCTTGGACGGTTGTACTTCTTGTAGTTAGAGATCTTTCGGTTAGGTACATTGTCAAGGCCACTACAGAAAGACTTTTAAGATAGAACAACATGATCAGATATGATTTGGAAGTGTAAAAGATACTCTGACTTCAGTGGGAAGAGACTTAGGTTAGCAAATGGGATTGAAATGTGTCAAGAAAATCCTCCCTCTTGTAGATAGGGAATAGTAAAATGAAAAACCTTACAAACCCCCTTAAAGGGATTGTAAGCAGTCTCAGGCATCAGGCCACATTTGAGAACTGGAAAATTGTAGGTTTTAGATATATGAGGGGGAAATGGACTGTGTTTATTTATTGATGATAAAAGGAAGTTATAAGGAAGATGAAAATAGTCGAGAGAGGTTTTTGAAGGAGAATAGGGGCTTTGGGATCCTAGCTGACTTAGAATTAGCTTTGGTAGATAGGGAGGCACCTGTGTCAGGATTCTTTATCATGTCCCTAGCACATCAAAAGATTTGAATGATGTTACCTGTTAGGCACAGGAGGCAAAGATGGATGAAAATTTGAGCAAATTTGGGGACAGAGTGGTAGGGAAAGGAGAAATTCATCTAGGAATGCTGTATGTGTACACACACATGCACGTGCATATTATAAGAAACAAGTCATGCTCAAAATAAAGATGAAGTGGGTGAGAAAGGAATTTAAAGGGCTTGATAAGTTTTTTTCTTTTTTTATAAGTTTTGAAAAACCTTGGGAAGGCTAGGAAGAATTGTAGAAAGAGCTGACCATTGAGACATGGAAGGAGTGCTGCACATACACTATGATTATATAAATGCTTGTTAAAGAAAAACATAATGTCTTAGGGATTTGAGAAATACAGTTGTCACTAAAACAGAAAGCTTCCAGTTATCCTAGGTAAAACTCCTACATGGCTATTTAGACTGTCTCGATTAAACATAACCAGCAGGTAACCCAGTTGGTTGCCTCCAAGCTATAATGTCCCTTTTTTGTCTTCAGACTATTATGGTTTTCTCTTGGTCAAGTGTGTGTCCACTTTTTGGGGGCACTTGGGAGTCTGGCCCTGATGAGCTACATTACTAAACATCTTGCTTACGTAGTGGCTGACTCCTGAACTAAGAACAGTGACTTCTTCCATTACTTTGTAGCTTTATAAACTTAGGATAGAAAAAACAATTTTTGGCTTACTTGCCAGTAAGATCCCGTTCTGTATTTGCTCTTTGTTCTTGTGCTAAGTACAGTAAGATGATGTTTTTCTTACTACAATTACAGGAGAATATTGTAATCTGAAATTACTTTTTAAAAGAAATATACTTGGCAAATGTCAAATTAAGTAGATATGATTACTGTGGGTTTTTAAAAAATCATTAAAAACATTGTTTTACGTTAGAAAGGATTGGACATTTAATATCATTTTTGCCTTGTATAACAGAAGTGTAAATAGGCATGAAATTGTTGTTTATATAAACCATGACCAAAAAGAGGACTGTCTTTTTTCAAAAGGCAAAGCCAATATGAATTACTTTTATTTAGGTTAAAAGTTTCCATCCATATCTGTTGGTCTGCTCTTGTCCTGCCTTGCCTTGCTTTTTCCTCCTGACCCATTATGGCTTCTCTAACAGCCCTCTTTCCTGTGTATTTTACATTTTTACCATATAGGTCTTTCACAGTTCTGCAGCCCCAGGCGGGCATTCTCTGAGCAGGGTCCGCTCCGCCTGATCAGGAGCGCCTCTTTCTTTGCAGGTTTGCGATGTGCTCTGTGGGTAGACTAGTTGGTGTGCCCTAGCAGCTAGAATTTGTAGTTAAGCTGTGGAAACAAGAGAGTAGATGAGTGCAATTGGGGAGGTTATAATTAAGAATCATTACTTATGGGCTGGGGATTTAGCTCAGTGGTTTCGGCGCCTGCTGCATAAGCGCAAGGACCTGAGTTTGATCCCCGGTACCGAAAAAAAAAGAATCATTATGTATGAAATACCAGAACTTAATTCCTTTCTACTGAATATGTTCCTCAAGTTTCCACAAACCAAGGTATCAGAATGCTTTTTTTTAAAAATTTGTTTTTAAAATTCGTTTTTTGTCCATTTTGTCATAATGATTTCAACTTTAGAATGAAGTTATTGACCATTATGACCACTATTTCTTAGAATACTTGGTGTTTTTAGTATGACACTGTCTTGTTTCCATGGCTCAGTAGCTTTTGTACCGTACTTCACCAATTGCAGAAAATATCCTATCTTACTGTTATTGTAAAATTTCTGATCCTACACTACTCCATAAACACAATTTTTCTTGGAGCTAAGATTTAGATGAACAAGCACCATTACAGTGTTCCATTAAAAGCATATGTAATTGTTTATATTGTTAAATTTACTATGATGGGGTGTGTGTTCATGGTTATATGTCCAGGATGCTGATTCGATTCCATATTTTTGCACATTTCATACCTAGTAGCCTAGCATTATAAGCTTCAGGTGTAAATTATCAGGATGTGTGCACATCTACTGATTATTTTTCTTAGGTTGGTATCAGTTTAGCTTTAGTTTTAATTTTTACTTTCCCTGTAAATATTAGATGTGAATAACACATTTATCATTAAAAAATTAGGAAAATATGAAAAAAAGGCAAAAATTATGTCAGCCACCTTGTCACCCAGGTGTACCCATTTTTTTTCTGGTAGTGTTGGAGATTGAACTCGGCTCCCACATGCTGGGCAAACACTCGGCCACTGAGTTACACCCACAGGACCTCCAACTTCTTCTTTGTCGTTGTCTTTTTTTTTTTTTCAGTACCGGGGATTGAACTCAGGTCCTTGCGCTTGCGCAGCAGGTGGTCAAACCACTGAGCTAAATCCCTGGCCCACCTCTACCTTCTAAGAGCAAAATTGGTATCATACTATTCAAAACATTTCTCAAGCTTTTTTTTTTATATGAATTTTAAAATTTATTATGTTTTTATCTAAATATTCAATATAGGGAGAATTAGTAGAGTGCACTGTGATATACCCATCACCAGGACCCAGCAACCAACATTCATTCGCTTGCGTTTTTCATTTAATAGCATGTTGTAGCTGTTATTGGATATACTTCTAAATATGAGTATTAGTTACCCCTGGCTTCTTTAAATATTTTATCATAGATATTTTCATAGTATATGTCAATCTTCAGATCTCAGAGCTTGTTCAACTGAGTAATAGCTCTTGGTGTTGGGTTAGCGCCATGCTTGAAAAATGAAGGAATGCAATGTGATGAGCATGATTTAGTTTGCTACTTAAAAGGAGAACATTTACTTGAATAGGAAAATATTTTGTAACTGACAATTTTGTATTGATTTACAGTTCACAGCAACCCAATGGACATGCCTGGAAGAGAATTGAATGAGGATAGAGACAGTGGCATAGCACGTTCTGGTAATTTCAGGTTCACGTGTTACTCACATTTTTATGCAACTGCTGCTAGCTGACATTGATTTTCTTTTTATCCCTTTTTTTACTATCTCATTCTCTGTTCACACTATGTTCATCTTGATTCTTGCCATATAAGAGAATTATGGAAAGAGTAGAGAGAAATCTCTTCCAGTTTTTTTTTGGTGAGAAATGATGGCACACACCTGTAATCCTAGCATTTGGGAGGCTGAGGCAGGAGGATCACTGCGAGTTGCAGACCAGCCTAGAATACTTAGCTAGACCTTGTCTCAACAGATGAAACAAAATAAAATTTAACATTTTTCACATTCGCTGTTAAGTATGCCTAGTGGAGTACACTTGGTTCACGAATTTAGCTCTTGCCACGATTCTCGTCACAAACTGAATTGGACCCGTAAGGTCAGCATTAAACCTAACCAGTGAATTTGATTCAGTTCTCATCCAACTTGGTTTGTGACCAGAATCATGGAAAGAACTAAGTTTGAGAACTGAGGTACCACCGTAGAGCATGAATGAATGCATGCTGTCTCAGGCTTAACCAGTATATGAAAAAAACTATTGCTCAGGAGACTACTTAGAAATCATAGCAAAAAAAAATTTTAGTTTATATCTGCTTGCTGCTAACTAGAGTGTCAATTTTCAGATTTTCTCTTGCCCAGAAAGTCTTAGGCATTATATACCAGTGTTATACATATTTCTTTCAAGTATGGACCCTTTTAAAATTTGTATTTCTAATAACATTTACTGAAACATGCTTCGTATTTAAAAAAGAAAACAATACAAGACACAAAGCCCAGAATTTGTCCTTCAGGACAGAAGCACAGTCTCCTAGGAGAACAGAAGAATCATTTGTTACAGTTTATAGTGTGTTCAGTGATAAACCTGTGCAGAAAGGTTCAAGAAAGGGCAAGGAACAGCGTGCCACCAATCCTCCACAAGAGAAGTGATGCTTGAATTGAATCTTGAAAAATAAATAGTCATCCAAGCAAAGGCATAGAAAAAGGCATAGTAAAATCAAGTGTTTGCTGGGCCTACAGATAGCATGAACTGAAAGAAGGATTAGCCTTAGGTTTGAAATACTATTAGATATGGTAAACTCAATTCACTGTGGTTATCCACAACATCACGTATGTGGCTCTGCTATCTAAATTGCTTATAGTTCAGTTTTGGTATAAATGGTAAATTTAACCTTACCGTGTATTATAATCCCTAGGTGTGCATGCGATAGCATGGAGAAGTTTCAAAAAATTTCTTCACATGCCTGAACTTTACTCCCAGACTGATTTAGCCTACAGAAGCATCTGTGTATGAGAAACGAAACCAACAGCCAAGGTTCTTTCAGTAGGAAGAATCTGGATCTTTTAAATCCCACCCCTTTTTCCAAGTTGAGTCTGTTTTGTCACTGAGAATCTAAAAGTATATTTATCTTAATACCCTTTTGCATCTGTTTAGAGATTCAGTTTTCTGTAGCAGAAGTTTTTTCCCAGATTCTTTTTTGTTGTTGTTTTTTTGTTTTTTGTTTTGGTACCAGGGATCAAACTCAGGACCTTGCGCTTTCGAGGCAGGCAGTGGCACCACTGAGCTAAATCCTCGGACCCCCAAATTCATTTTTAAACTGGCAGGTAAAATTGTATTTACCATGTACACCATGATTCCATGAAGCACATGCACACTGTAGGATGATTAGATCCGGCTCATTGAGATTTTTTTATCACCTCTTACTATTTTTGTGTTGAGAACACCTGCATCCCCTCTCCTCTCGTGTCTTAATACAATATACCCCTGATTTACTATAGTCACCATGCTATACAATAGAACTCTTAAACTTACTCAAAGAATAAAAGGGAGGAATTCTCATCATTTTATTCACGATTTGGATGGTGATAAATTAATTTCTCTATACTTCATTTTCTTTCTTGTAAATTAAAGGGCCTAGACATACCAACCCTTGTTTCTTTTTCTTTTTTCTTTGTTTTTGTGAGACAGGGTCTCAACTGTGTTGTGTTTTGTTTTGTTTTATTTTGTTTTTGGTACTGGGGCTCGAACTCGGGACCTTGTGCTTGCCAGGTGGGTGCTGTGCCACTGAGCTACATCCCCAGCCCAAGGGTCTCGCTGTGTATTCCAGACTGGACTTGAACTTACTGTATAACCCAGCCTGGCCTCAGACTTGGTGATCTTTTTGCTTAACGGCCTCCCAAGCTCTGGGATTTTAGGCACGTGCCTCCACATCCAGCTTGGGTAAGCCCATCTTTAATGCTGCACCAACACACTAAATTTACATATGCCATTTAAGTTACTTTTGTATTTTCTTTTATTAGGGTTATTTATTTATTTTTCCAGTATCAGGGATTGAACTCAGGGTCTTATGCTTGCCAAGCAGGTGCGGCACCACTGAACTGCATCCCTGGCTCTTATTAGGGTTATTTTTTGTTTGTTTGTTTGTTTGTTTTTGGTACTGGGGATCAAACTTGGGGCCTTGCACTTGCGAGGCAGGTAGCAGAACCACTGAGCTAAATCCCCAGCCCTAGGGTTATTTTTAATACAAGAATGCAGTATAAAGTATTTTTTCTAAATTTAGGGAAGCATTTTATTTTTCACTAAAGCCACGCCCAGAGTAGTTGTACATACTCAGTTTTAGATTCCAAAGCCTTATAATACTAATTGAAAAAATGTGGTCTTTCTAAAGTAGTTCAGAACAAATTCATGAATAGTCCACATTTGTGTGGCACATAGAGCTTTACCCTCTATCATTGAATTTTTCAGAATTCAAATGAATAGCTCTTCATACAGTATCTCAGTTTTTAGTCCTGGTGTCCAAAAAGTTTATTATCTGGCATGTACCTTTTCATAGATCATATTAATACTTAGATTATGTTAATAGATTATATTAATTTTTTAACATGTACTGATAAAAATGGAAATGTAATATTGCCAAACAAAAGCAAGCTCAATAATAACATAGCTTAGGAACCTGGGGGAGAAGGTGAAATCCCAAGCCCATGGAAGAATAAAGGCTTGTAGCTTCCAACACCTTAGGCAAAAAGATCTTATAAATTTCATGGAAGGGTTTGGGGGAGGGAATAGTCAATCCCTGTAGTCAGGGGACTGCAGCAGTGTAATCAGAGTAGAATCTACTGGAGTGTGTTGCCTCAGAACGATCCAGAGAAAAAGCTATAGGGTCTGTTGTGTTTTTTAATAGCTTAGGAAATATGATTGGTCATTATCTTTTTTTAAAAAGTGCTTGGCTTGACCATGTATGCATAAGTAATCCATGAGAACTTATAATTGTCCTCTTTAAATGCCATTTACTTACTTTAAAAAATGGTTGTTTTTGGTTGTTTTCAGAAATCCATCTGCTGTATTGTGTGTGTAGTATTGGATTTCCTTTAAGGAATAAAGGGACTCAGTAAAGTTAGCATACAGTGTGGTAGCTGAAGAGGCAACACCTTGTTGGAGAATAGCATTTCCGTCCTGGATGATTGGGAGGGGTACCAAAAGAAGATTGTCTCAACGCCACTTTCCAGTACATTACTAATATATAACTTTTCCCTCCAAGACCTTGCTCCAAGAATTTTTCAAATGGAAATTTTAGAGGCAAGGCTCATTAAGCAAAAAGAACAATTTGAATCATGTTACTCTTAACATTTTTATAATTTAAAAATTTTATTCATACATGTTTTCAGTTCATGCGGTTTACAGTCATCTTGGGAATGGTTACATGTACATATTACAGCTTGTTTCTTTTTTTTAATCCCTTTCCCCATTCGTCCCCCTCCTCCAGTTCCCCTATCCCTTTTCTCATACTTGTTGATATTATTTGTCTTAGCTCATGTCATGGCATATAGTGTTTTTTGGTTTTGGTTTTGGTCTTGGTCTTGGTTTTGGTTTCTTGAGACAGGGTCTCCCTTTCTAGTTCAGGCTGGCCCTGAACTCAGTGTGCAGACCAGGCTGGCCTTGTACTTGCAGTGATCTTCCTGCCTCAGCCTCCCAAGTGTTGAGATTACAGGCATGCGCCACCATGCCTGGCTGATGGCATATAGTGTTCACATTAATAGAGGTTATTAGGTTCCTGTATTCTTAACGTTTTTAAAAAAGAAATTTGTCATTATCTGTAGTCATTATTGACTTACATATATACTGTTGTTCTTCTAACTCAACAGCATCTCTCAGCAGCTTGCTGATCACCCCGTTTCCTTCCCCAAACTCTTCACTCACCCGAAGTTGCGCCAGCAGTTACCAGCGACGTTGGCGACGCAGCCAAACAACAAGTTTGGAAAATGGAGTATTTCCTAGATGGTAAGTTGGAATTTCCACAAGACTGACTAGTTCCTTAAATGTAGTGAGTTTGTTTAGAGCCTGAGCTTACATTTTGTATATTTTAAGCCTGGAACTGAAAACTTTTTAAATCGTACATTTTTTTATTGTGGTGAGTTACACAAAATAGTTCACTGTTGTAGTCACTTTTAGGTGTGTAGATTAGTGACATTAAGTACACACACCATCACCACTATCTAATGCATGAACTTTTTCATCTTCTCAAACTGAAACTCTATACCCATTAAATAATAACTCCCCTTTCCTCCCTCTTCTGGCCCTTGTAACCTTGTGCCTTTTCCATGAATTTGACTTCTGTAGGTACCTTATATGAGTGGAAACATGCAGGACTTGTTCTTTTATGTCTGGCTTATTTCACTTAGTTTAGTCTCTTCAAGGTTCATCTGTGTTATAACACGTCAGAAATTAATTCCTTTTTATGGCTAAATTATATTCCTCTGGAAGAACATTTTATGTATCCATTCATCTGTGGGTGGACACTTAGGTTTCCACCTTTTGGCTGTCGTCCATAATGCTTCTATAAATATGGGTATACAAATACTTGAATCCTTGCTTTCAGTTCTTTTTACATATATACCAGAAATGGAACTACTGGGCCACGTGGTAATTGTACTTTTAATTTTTGAGGAACTGCCACACTTTTTTTTTTATAGTGGCTGCATTTTATATTCCTACCAGCAAAGGTTCTAATTTCTCTCACAAGTTATGTTTTATTTTCTTGTATGTGGGTTGGTTGGTTGGTTGGTTTTGTGATCCTGGAAATTGAATCTAAGACTTCATGCATGCTAGTCAAGTGTTGTACCTTTGAGCTATCTACACTCCCGGCCATCACCACCTCCTTTTTTATAGGGCCATCCTAATGAATATGAAGTGGTTTTAGTTTGCATTCGCCTGGTGGTTGTAATGGTTTTGAGCCTCTTTTCAAGTGCCTATCAGTCATTTGTATACCATTTTTTGGGAGATGTCTATTCAAGTCCTTTGATCATTCTTTTTTTTTTTTTTTTTCTGGTACCGGGGATCGAACTCAGGACCTTGCACTTTTGATGCAGGCAGCAGAATCACTGAGCTAAATCCCTGGCCTCCTTTGACCATTCTTTAAATCAAGTCTATTTTGTCATTGACTTGTAAGTGATTTTTGATAGATTCTGGATATTAATACCTTACCAAATACAAGATTTACAAATATTTTGTTTCATTCTGTGGATTGGCTTTCATTCTGTTGATGGTATCCTTTAATGTACTAAAGTTTTTCATTTTTAGATAGTTCCATTTACTATATATTTTTTTGCTTGTGCTTTTTTGTGTTATATCCAAGACATTTTTGCCAAATCCAATGTCATAAAACTTTTATGCTGTTTTTTTTTTTTGGTACTGGGGATTGAACTCGGGACCTTGTGCTTGCGAAGCAGGCGCCGGAACCACTGAGCTAAATCCCCAGCCCTGTGCTGTTTTTCTTGTAAGAGCTTTATGTTGTGCTCGCTTCGGCGGCACATATACTAAAAAAGAGCTTTATGTTTAGATCTTTGACTGTATACCACATTTTGATATTTAAAGTTTTCATATTTCTATTTTAATTTTATTCTTTTGTTTATTTGTTTGTTTTGTTTTTGTTTTTTGAGACAGGTTCTCACTTTGTAGTTCAGGCTGCCCGTAAACTCACTATGTACCTCAGGCTGGCCTTGAACTGTGTTTGAACTATGTAGCCCAGGCTGGCCTGCCTCAGCCTCTTGAGTGCTGGGATCACAGGTGTGGGCCACCACGCCCAGCTATTAATTTATTCTTGAAAGATTTTTCTTAGTTAGTGTACGCTAAGTGCAGCTGTAGATCCCTGTTTCCTCGCTAAATGTCTTTATTCTTTAATTTTTTATTTTACATGTGGACTCAAAAGGAGAGACAAGTAGATCCTAGAACAGTGAATAGATTGTACCATACTCATGTGAAAACCTTAAAATACAAGCATTTTTAGATTGTGAATTGGGATTATCTACTTCTTTAACAACTTCTCATTAATCAAAATTATAATCTTAGTAAAAACATGAGCAAACAAGATACTAAGTAGATTTCCCTAAGAGATACGATCTATAGCAAAATTTAGATGCATTTGCTGAAACAGAAAACGACCTTTAGCTTTAGCTTGCCTGTATTTAATTAGCAAGAAGATTGAATTGAGAATTTATTTACTATTATATTTTTTAAATTTAAAAAATCATTTATTTTTAAGGTCTATTGAAGAAAGCTTCAATCTGTCAGATGAAAGCTGTGGCCCTAACCCAGGAATTGTGAGAAAAAAGAAGATTGCAATTGGAGTAATCTTTTCATTATCCAAAGATGAAGATGAAAATAACAAATTTAATGAATTCTTTTTTTCACATTTTCCTCTTTTTGAAAGCCATGTGAACAAATTAAAAAGTGCAATAGAACAGGTAAGCATAGTTATTCGCATCTTTTTTTTTAATATATTAATTGGTACATTTTAGGTATACAATGCATCTACATTTATCATTCGATGTTTGTACCTGAACGTGATGTATCTTAGTTCTTATTTTTTCCCCATTACCTGTGCGCCCTTCACCACAGTTATTCATATCTTATTTTTATTTTTATCTTTTCCTTTGAATTTTATTCTCCTGATTGAGCATTATGTTTATTCATTTGGCAGAAATATTAACAGCCACAGTGCCAGTGCCTTACATATAATCTGGAAGATGCATACAGATCAGCGTTCTTCAAAGAGCTTGCTGTAAGGGCTGGGGATTTAGCTCAGTGGCTCTGCCACCTGCCTCGCAAGTGCAAGGTCCCGTGTTCAATCCCGGGTACCCCGCCCCCCCCCCCCAAAAGCTTGCTTTCTAATAAAAGATCTAAGGCTGTTTATTCAGAAACTAAAGTTTTAGGACCTCTAATGTATCAGGACTATTCTAGCAACTGAAGAGAAGAAACCAGCGCTCCTCATCTCATGGGGTGGCAAATGAACATACATGATTTTAAAGGGTTACTTGAAAAATGAAATAGAACCTAAGGACAGGCAAAGATAGGTTTCATTTGGATTATATCTTGAAGAATACGTATGATATTTTAAACGTAAAGCTTTGAAAATTGGACATAGCACAATAGCAAGAAAACTGATGTCCTTACCACCCCAAGGGAACTCACTACCGTTTTGCTGAAAGTCTTACTCAGGCCTTTTACTTGGTTGGGATTATTCTGCATTTTTAAATTGTGTGCCCATTTCAAAAATCTCATCATTGTAACATATACTTGAAAAATGCGTTTGTTACACATAAATGGATCCTAATTGAATTTTTTTTCGGTGCTTAGAACAGTGGGTCTTGCACATGTTAGGTAAGCAGTGTTAGTGAGTACATCTGCAGTCCTTTGTATTGTATTTTGAGAGAGAGTCTCACTAAATTGTCCAGTCTGGCCTTGAACTATGATCCTTCTACCTCAGCCTCCTTGAGTAGCCGGGATAACAGGTGTGCACACCACCATTCCCAGCTTATAAATTACTCTTAAATATATTTTACTGGATTTTCTCATTTTAAGTAACAGTTTTCTTATTAGGCCTTTGTACATTTTCAGTTATTGTTACTTTATAGTTAACATCTTGGTGAAATTTCCAGGTTATTTCTTAGAAGAGATTTTGGGAAGTTGAAATAAGAATCAATGGCTAAATATAGTTGTTAATCTATCTTTAGTAGTAGCAGAAGGGAGATGATATGAACAGGAATAGTGAGTGGTAGGACAAACAGACTTACTGGGGATACATAAAGAATCTAGAATGTTGGCCAAGAAGTTTTAACTTTGTTTTTAAGGCTCTTTTCAAGATTTGCTTTTAGAAAATTAATTTGGCAGTATCATAAAGGAGACTAGAATGAAAAGTGGAGGAAAAACAAAAAGAATGAAAAGTAGCGAGACAAATTAGAATGACCCTAGCCGGTAGGGGCTGCATCTCAGTAACCCAGTGGGAAGGGTCACCTGCCTCTGGAGCAGGCACAGACATTTATTCACATTGAATCTGTCAGGAAGAAAAAAGCGACAGGCAGATCATCAGCAGTACTTTTTTACTGAATAAATGAATTAGAGACCATTTGCGTTTGTTTTAAGTGAAACTGGTCACATTTTCTTCAGTTGACTACTGTCTTATTTTGTACTCTGTGGATACCAGAGTCACCACACATTTCCTATGACTGAAACATTTTGAGTTACTTGGATAAATATTTAAAGCATTGTATCAAACTTGAGAGGCACTTTGTAGAATTCATTAAAGATTACTTCTTTTTTTTTTGGTACCAGGGATCGAACTCAGGACTTACGCTTGCAAGGCAGGCGGTGAAACCACAGAGCTAAATCCCCGGCCCTAAAGATTACTTTTTAAGTGTTTTCATGTTTTAGTGCTTTGACCACTAACTTGAAGTGTATGTTATTAATACTTACAATTTTCTAGATACTTGTTCAAGTTTAATATCATTTTTTTATTAAAGCTGACATAAAAATGAACGCTTTTATATGAGTGAAAACTTAATTTAAAAAGTTCTATGGTAGCTAATTAATGATAGAATTTACAAAACACTGGGCCATCCAAAGAGGTTACCTTCTAGGGGCAGTTTTTAAACTACTCACTTTTTAATTCTTTAATAAAAGCTATGAATTTTGCTTTTGAGCACCTTGGCAATTATTTTAAAGTCTGCCCCCTTTTTTGGAGAGTTGTAATGTAACTTTAAAATATTGCTGATAACATTAAAGAGAATCATTCCTTAATTTCAGCAAAAGAATATTTATTTATTTATGATTGTTAATCTTTTAACAGTTTTATAAAACGTAAATTTTCATTTTTATCTTCTGATACTTGATCCTTGGCCTAAAGTAGTCCACCTTTTAAAATATGTTCTTTAAAGATTCTCAGTCACTTTATAATTATATAAAAAATTTGTTTCAAAAAAGTAAAGTTGCAAAGTGCTTTTTTTGCCTACATATTCTAACCATGGTCTCCTTTTTATCTTCTTGGTCTAAGGTTTTTCAACTTGAGCTAAATTTATTTTTAGGTGATTTTTTTTTTTTTTTTTTTTTTTTTTTTTGAGACAGTGTCACTATATAGTTTTGGCTGGCCTTGAACTCTGTGTAGCCCAGGCTGGCCTCAGACTTGTGGTGAGCCTCGTGCCTCAGCCTCCCAAGTGCTGGGATGTGCCACGATGCCTGGCTTAAATATATTTGTAAAGAAGCAAATATGAGAAATAACGAGATGTCTGTCAGCAGAATTTTTATATTCTAGCTTTTTGAAAAAGAAAGTGCTAAAAGAAGCAATATCTGTGAGATATAAGAGTAAATCCATGAACTGTTATTATGTCTTGTTCTGTTAGAAAAAGGGAGTTTTTGGTAATCCAGAGACTGTCAACGTCAGTTTTTGTTGTCATTCTGCAATGTGACAATTATAATAGATTTAATTGTTGAAGAATTAAAATTTTTTGGTAATCATCAATGTCCAAAGATATAGACGGGAAAGCCACTGTAAATCTGTCTATCTTTTTATTTCTTTCTAGATTAGATTGTTGGTAGTGTTGTGTAATATGTCGCTTTTTATTTCTTTCTCTGCTTTGATCATGATTTCATAAAAGAATTAACTGTGTAATGATTGTTTTCAAGGCTATGAAAATGAGCCGGAGATCAGCAGATGCCAGTCAGAGGAGTTTGGCATATAATCGAATAGTTGATGCCCTAAATGAATTCAGGTACATATACCCCTGCTTTCCATAATACTCACTTGTTTCACGGTGTACAAAGGAAGGAAGGTACTTCTTTTCTTTAACTTGTTCGAATAAAATTTACTTCTTTAAATTTCTCAGTTCCTCAGTCATTTGAGGGTCTAATATTCAGTAAGGCCCTTGGCTCCTGTGCTATTATATTCTCAAATGCAGTTGGGATCCAAGGACATTCAAGACCCACCAGTGGCATAGTTTTTAATAGTGGACCTTTTGTTTTTGACAAGCAGATATGGCCAGAAAATAACTGTTGTTCCAGAAGTAGGCTTTGTTCTCTCTTGGGCTCCTAGTTAAGTGTTACTTAGCCAGTGGCGGTCATCGTGTGTTCCTGGATACATGGAACAAGGATATATGGATATAAGGAACATGAGCTCAGTGATCCTAATAGCCTCATTCTTTCTCTTGATATGTGATAGTCAGTTCTCTTTCCTCTGACATAGATTGTTCCTGAAGCCACAATGATTGGTGTCACTGCCCTCTGATTATATGGCCAGCAGACATGCTGCAGATAGACACGTTAGGAATCACACTAAGTGCTCTGTGTTTTCTGTGAAGAGATTAACTTCAGGTCTTCTTCAACCTCAGTCTTTCTTCACATGAGAGATGGTATAGCACATAGATGAGGATGAGAACAGAGAGGCTTGAGTCTGTGTTCTAACCCTGGCTGTGCCATTTACTAACCTTGGTGACCTTGGACAGGTGCTTAGCATTTCGAACTCTGGTTTTCTAATCTAATGCATGCAAACTCAGCCAGATGTGGTGGTGCCCGCCTGTAATCCCCGTGCTTGGGAGCTGAGGCAGGAGGACTGTTGCAAGTTCCAGGCCAGCCTGGGCTACATAGTGAGTTCAAGCCCAGCCTGAGCTGCATAGTGAGACCCTGTCTCAGAAAACCAAAACAAATCATTAAAATATACAAATTGACTTTAGCAATAGTAGATTATTTTAAGAATTGAATGAGCTCGTGTGTGGTGTGTGCTCAGCAGAACGCCTGACTTGTGCGGGGATGCTCTTCTCTGGCAGACACAAGCACAGCACTGCCTCCCCAGTTTTAGTCCTTGCTGTCACACCCTCGTGATTTTCTCAAATCTATGCCACTTACCTCGTTTTCTCACATACATGCCATTTAAATTTAAGTTTTCTTTAAAATTGACTCTTATCAAAAAAATTTTTTATTGCAAAGGAAACTTCTATTACTCTAAATGGGGAATCAGTATTTTTTTTTTTTGCTGTAGGAAGTTAATAATAAAAATGAACTAATAAATCAGGTGCTGTGGCACACACCTGTAATCTCAGCACTTGGGAAGCTGAGACAGGAAGATCGTCATGAGTTCAGGGCCAGGTTCAGCTGCATAGTGAGTTCAAGGCCACCCTGAACTACATAGCAAGATACTGTCTCAAAAAAATCAACAACAACAGTAATAATAGTAATAGTTACAATTTAAAATGTGTAGCTTTATTACCTTAGGTTTATTATTAACAATAGTCTATGTAACTGAATTTTAGAAAACCTGACTTCATGTTTTTTTCATTAACAACTTTGTCCCTTTGAGGCAAGGATCTTCTGAATTAGTTTTTGAAGTGGTCCATAATATTTTCCAGTGAGTAACTGTTTTAGCTTGTGACTTTGTAGGATTGCTATGGTGAAACTGTAATCATATCATATATATGACTTTTTAAGAATGAAGGGGACTAAGGAGGGGTGGCTTTAAATAGAAAATGTTTACTTTTGGGCCGGGAATTTAGCTCAGTGGTTCCACTGCCTGCCTCCCAAGCACAAGGTCCTGAGTTTGATCCCTGGTACCAAAAAAAAAAAAAGAAAAATCTTACTTTTATGAGTATTGTATAATAATCATTTGTGTTAGTTGAGAAAGAGAAAATGTCTAATCATTATTTTATTTACTGTAATTGTTTTATGGAGGAGGTACTTTAATTTTAAATTTAATACTTTAATTTTGTGTCTATTGTGAAAATCATATAACTTTAAATTTATCCTTACTGTTTTTAAGTGTAGGGTAGTGTTAAGTATATTCATATTGTTGTGAAATAGATCTGTAGAACTTTTTCATCTTGAAATACTGAAACTTTATACCTAAATAATAATTCATGAAAATACCACTTTTAATCATTGAGAATTACATGCAAAGTTATTCATAATTCCATCTGTTCAAACTCAGACCTTAAAAGTTCAGGTTATCACATCCTCCCTTTTCATTTCCCCCTCCCTCTCCCTCTTCCCCTTGTCCCTCCTGTTTTTATTAAATCCTAGGTCTTTGTACTGAGCTACATCTCCAGCCCTTTTTATTTTCTTTTATTATGGAATAAACGCTCACTAAATTTTATAGGCTGGCCTTGAACTCATAATTATCCTACCTCAGGCTCCTGAGGCAGGGATTGCACGTGTGTACTGCTGTACTTTGTGCTATTACACACTATTAAGTAAACGCATTCTAAAGACAGTTGCGCCTGGTAGTGCATGCCTATAATCCCAGCACTTGGGAAGCTGAGATAGGATTTCAAGTTTGAGGCCAGCCTGGGCTACATAGAGAGTTCAAGGGCAACCTCAGCTACGTAATAAGACCCTGCCCAAACAAACAAGGAGTATTACATAGATGCAGTGTAAGGGGGCAAAAGTGTACTTGCAGAGGAAATTTAGAGCAGTTTTCATGAATTGACTGTGATATGTAGTTTGCTCTGTTTTCGTAACTTCTCAGCTTAAATCAGACCTGTTTGTGTTTCTGAAAGTGTTTGTGTAAAAGTAAGAAATTTGATGGTCTTGTGAATATAAGATGATCTAAATTATTTTTTGTTTTCATTTTTTTGGTCCTGGGGATTGAACTTGGGACCTTACACTTGCAAGGCAGACGGCAGCACCACTGAGCTAAATCCCTGGCCCTGTCTAAATAATTTTAATGTCAGTACTGTATATTTGCTTGAGATGAGAATTTTTAAGGCATGTTGTGTTTTGTGTTTTGTTTTGTTTTGCAGTACTGGGGAACAAACTCAGGACCTTGCACTTCGGAGGCAGATGTGGAACCACTGAGCTAAATCCCTGGCCCTGGCATACTGTTTTAATATAAATGTTAAGATACGTTATGATTCAGAAAAGAGGGGCTGGGGATTTGGGATTTGGCTCAGTGGTTTCGCCACCTGCTGCACAAGCGCAAGGACCCGAGTTCGATCTCCGGTACCAAAAAAAAAGATCAGAAAGTGCATTATACTAAATTGCTTAAAATAATTTATAATGATTTAGGCTTGCATTAGACAAATGTCCTTACCATTGATTTGCTGTTTCACTAAGTACTCTATAAAGAAAAAGGCGGCCACATTAAACTCTATAAGTAAATGTTTTCCTGTACTCTTAATATTGAATAAAACTTTGAGACAGTACTTCGATGGGAGACCAAGTTAATTGTAGGTTTTTTACCGTTCTCTGTGTAGACTCCTATGTAGTCCTATGCACATGACATTTACATAAGTTAGAAAGTGGAACTTTATGTAACTTAATCTGTCTTGATTTTAGTTAGTGCACGGTGAGAGATAATGGGTCTAGGTTCAACCTTAGGTATGTGGATAGCCAGTTTTCCCAGCACCACTTGTTAAAGAGGCTGTCTTTCCTGCAGCAAAAGGATTTGGCCCCTTTGTCAAAAATAACACAGCTGACGGCTGGGGATTTAGCTCAGTGGTTCGGCCGTCTGCCTCGTAAATGCAAGGTGCTGAATTCGATCCCTGGTACCAACAAAACAAAACACAGCTGAGTATGTCTGGAGTTGTTGCTGGTTTTTCTGTTCTGTTCCATTGATCCCCAGGTCTTTTTTTTTTTTTTTTTTTGCTATCATTCTGTTTTTATCACAGTAGCTTTGTAGTATACCTTGAAGTCTGGGATTGTGATGCCCCCTTCCTTGTCCTTCTGGCCCAGAATTGCTTTCACTGTTCTAGGCCTCTTCTGGTTCCATATGAATTTTAGGGTAGCTTTCTCCAGTTCTGTAAGAAATGTTATTGGTACTTTGATTGGTATTGCATTAAATATATATAACTGTACTTCTAATAGAAGTATGGCCATTTTAACTGTATTGGTTCTGCCTTCTTGGAAACGGGTCATCTTTCCATTTTCTGACACCTCTTTCAATCTCCTTTTTCAGAGTACTTTAGTTTTTCTTGTAGAAGTCCTTCACTTCGTTAGGTTAATTCCTAAATATTTCATTTTTCTTCATGCTGTGCTTCATGCTTGTGAAGAGCATTGTTTCCTTAATTTCCCTCTCAGTGAGTTTGTTTTTGGTGTGCAAGAACACTATTGATTTTTTGTATATAGATATTTTTTGGTACCGGGGATCAAACTCGGGACCTTGCGCTTGCAAGGCAGGCGCTGAAACCACTGAGCTAAATCCCCGGCCCAAACGCTATTGATTTTTGAGTGTTGACTTTGTATCCTGCTACACTGTTGAATTTGGGTATAAGTTCTGGGTGTCTTTTGGTGGAGCTTTTCGGGTCTTCTATGTGGAGGATCATGTGATCAGCAGATAATGATAATTTAACTGTTCTCTATCCATATTTCTTCTATTTTTTTCTTGTCTTATTGCTCTAGCTAATGTTTTGAGAACTGTATTAAACCGAAGTATTAACTGTATTAAACAGCATCTTTGTCTTGTTCATGATTTTAGAAGGAAAGTTTTTCAGCATCTCCATTTAATACGATGCTGGCTATTGGTTTGAGAGAGATGGCTTTTATCAGGTTGAGATAAAGATCTTCTATTCCTATTTTCTTTAGTGTTTTTATAATGAATAGATGTTACATTTCGTCAAATGCTTTTTCTGCGACTATTGAGTTAATCATCTGATTTTTGTTCTTCTGTTTATGTGGTATATATCACATTTACTGATTTGCATATGTTGACTCATACTTGTATCCCTGGAATGAATCCTACTTGGTCATGATGTATGATCTTTTTGATGATTTGCTGGATTCTGTTTGC